TTCATTCATTTCCTTCCTTTCCTGTTTCACACGTATTGCAGAGAACAGAGGTCAGTCTGAGGCATCAGTTCTTGCTTCTTGTAAGCATCATTTTTACTCTTTGTGCGATTCAACCACAGTGGTCACCTGATTTTGTTTTATTAGTTGTCCTATGGGTTCCTAGTGGAACATACGGCTTCAGTAGCATGTCGCCATTTCACTCTCTTCTCTGCACTCTTTTCAACCTGACTCCATGACTGCCAGTAAGCTTTCATTTCTTCCTCACACGATCTCCCCCATGTTACTCTCGGACACCCAACTCATCGTTTCCGATTTGGGTTCCATTCAAGGGCCTGGCCTGGCCTGGCCTGGCCTGGCCTGGCCCGGCCTAGCATGGAGCGTGATGTCCCCAAACGGTCTTCTCAGTTCATGTTCAATCCAATCCAACCCATCTCCACTTCCTTCTGCATATTTGTTGGGTGATAGGTTCATGTTTGGTTCGTTGCACTGGCCACATAGGATAGTAATAATAATAATCATAATTACTGGCCATATTCATGACAAACCACCCTGTACAGTTTTCCGGTCTCAGATCCAGTTCCAAGTAGAAACCAGTCATATAAGAGTAGATTTTGTGTTCTGTTGTAGATCACACTTCCCACGTTCTTTTATTTATTTGCCAACCATACCTTTGTCATTTACTGGATAACGTTTTGAGCACAATTTCTTGCTTATAGGTCTGTCAAAGTAGTGAAATAACCTTATAACGATTTTCATGTTTCTACAGTTACTCATTCTTCGATATCAGTGATATTCAAATTATCGGATTCAGTAATGTAACATCTCATCCTATTAATGTTTGTTTTTAGGACCATTATGCACTAACACGTCCCTAACACTAACGTTTTCCCCACTAATTGGCATGTGTGTCTCATTCGGCTTTTACCTTCTCTGTCCCAATAACGTGACCAACCAGGACCGGCTAAATTGATGTCAGTTATCTTCTGGTTGAGGTTGCATTTTCAAACATCACACAGAGCTAATTTTTATCGAAAATTTAATATGTCCTCCTCTTACATATGGAATTTCGATCCCTTCTCACTTGTTCAATAATTATTGTTCACAGTGCTGTCTCTTCCCTCATTTGCTAGTCAGCTCACCAGTACAACCTTGTGATCTCACCTATGAGTCACTCACCCCTCCTTAATGTATGAGCACTAATGATATCATCTGGTTACCGTGACCCAAGTAAGCGGATTAAACTTTTATCTGAACAGATTACCTGAAACATTGGAGTGAGTAACTGATGAGACAGACCTTGGCTTTGACTTGTATGAAGCGTTCTGTTAAATTCTGTGGAGAGAATCATGAGATGCCAATGTAGCACTAATACTTTTCAACAGTGAATTCAGACGTCTTGATTTGAGTGAATGAACCAATTACTGGGTGTATATCAATCTATGTGGAGTGGAATGACCAATTTTACAATTTTCAAACAGGAAAACTGAACAGAAAAATGTCTGAATGAGTGAGGACTTCGAATATGTGAAGCAATCGGTGTATGCCGCATTGTTTCAGCTCATATAACCAGAAGGTTGAGTACATTTAGGTGGACTTATGCTTCCTCAGGTTATATTTTGTTTGCCTCTTCAATGCTTATATGCATGGTTGACTATTTCTGCTATGATCTTTCTTCCATAACCGTTTCATATCTTTGGAGATGGTCAGCAGTACACTTCGTGAAGTAGATTTCATGCTTTCAAACGACCAGGCGATGGAGTGAACAAGAAATGGTGTTGTCTTTTCAGCTGATATTCAGGACCGGTGTCTATCACTCGAAACTCACGAATACCATCCCTTCTGCTGCCAACATGGACACTGTGTAAGGATGCACAAGTATTCCCATAGTTCTCATTATCTACTCTACATGATGATTTCCTGGTGTCAAAAAGTAATGAGTTCTAGACCTAGGAATTTGTGAGAACACAAACTCGAATCCATTTATAAATAGCTGAAATGTGTCATACAGGATGAAGTGCGCAGCTACTGAACTAGTAGGTTAAATCGAAAGGATATCATCGTAATACCAAGGTGATTATATCACGAACCGAAATGCTAGTATTACCATGAGATGATATGAACCAATAAGCTAAGAATGTTTAATCTAGGAACGTGAGAGAAACTATCACAGAAAAGCTTACTGATATACTAGACAGATGTGAAGTGCACAAAGAATTAAATGTGCTCACGTCCTGCATTTCAATTTGTCATGGAAGAGGTTGCATTGTTTTCTCTACAACAGCATCTTGTCATGTGGGTGTATACATCTTGGCACCATTGTAGAGCATAATTCTATATGAGAATGTCAATATGATATTGCACACAGTGATACCGTATCGTTTACTTGATGATCTGAATGACTATGAACAATAAATTGTGGTGTAAATGTCGTCAGTAAATAATACTGTATCACTCACGGTGTACCACATCACATAAAAAATCTAAGATTATTGAAAATTTTTAACTCTTGGTATAACATAATGCAGAAGAACAACATTCATGACTCAATCCTTCCGCAGCAGTTGACAATGTTGTCAATGTATTTTCATGACTCGTTTAACCTGAGTACCAAGTGATGTGTAGCGGTTATACAACGTTTATGGTAGTGGTTGTCTGCCATATCTTTGAGAAATATTTCTTCTTCTTAGCTGTGGAGTAAACGTCTTAGTCGCGGTAATTTAGGACTTGGTCATTAATTGAATGCATGCCTCAGTTACCACAGCACCGAGTCAATAGATGCAGCAAGACAGATTTCAACTCACTGCATAACTACTCTCAAAATACCACTTCTTTTCAATATACAACAACTTTCGATGAGCATTCAACTCGAAGAGTTAGTTAGTCCCGTCGGCTTAACAAGGCTTCTAAAACAACTCAACAGCAAATAAATACACACTTACAAGGAATGCACATCAGTGCAGTCATGAGGAACTCGGCTACCCACACCATAGTTAGATGGATATCTCAATCTACCTGTGACAATATCATCTTGTGCCTACATTCTCCAACACAACAAGACATCAAGTTTTAAACTTATCTTTGTTCACAATTGTGCTGTAATTCATTTTCATAAACAATTTGGAAACTGATATATCAAATCTCCAAAAATGTACCAACCTGTACATCTTTAGATGGGAATTTCGGACTTGAAATTTTGAAGAAGTCTCCACCTGTAGCTGAATTGTGAGCACATTTTGCAAGCAGTTGAGACACACTGACCTCATGATCGAATATCAAGTAGCAATAACCTGAAATATCAATTTTTGTAAATTTAATGAAGGTGAGGAGAAACAGACAAAATTTGAGTATTGATAGTAATGATGAACAGTAGCAAGCAGTGGTTCGAGTTCCAGTGTCAAAAACATCACTAACTGGAATCCAAGTACATCTAGTTAATGAGTCCTGTGTAGGACAACACTCATCCCGGATTCCACTGCAACCTACTGTCCATCCATAACATCAGACTGAAACCACAAGCAGCATCAAGGCATCCTCAAAGGAGCCTATATGCAGGTTGGAACAGAGTGATTCAGTCGAATCAACGACGAGAAATTAAATGCAATAACATACAATTTCATGTTGTGGTCTCTGAACTGGATGGTCTCATTCTTGGTTGGTGCATATTCTGTCTGTTCACCAGTAAACCATCTAGCTCAGAGAAAGAACACAACACCATCAAAATTATCCTCCTTCATCTAGTTATAAAGTAATTTCAGTTTATATCTACACGTTGACACTCACTGTGCCTACCTTTGGTTGTAGAAGGTTCAGTGTTTGTATTGCTGGATTGCATTGCATCCTTCTGTGGCCAGCATATAGTCACACTGCCGAATCGAGAAAAGATTCTGACTAGCTCTTCACTTGTACTATCCCATGGTATACCACCAAGAAAGACTTTCCGTGAAAATGTCATAGTTCTACGGGCTCGAACTGGCAGTTTTCCTGACCAATGGTAGACTGCATCACTCGTCTCTGAGGCCTTACCTAAGAAAGACAGATTAGTAGTATTTGGTTACTTTCAATAATACACAAACTTGGAAACAGATGTCCTTCCTAATGATGAATTGGATGAGAATTTGGCAAATGTAGTTAAGTCGGTAAGAAGTAGTTTGAAATAAATGTGAACTACCTTCAGCAACAACGACCTTATCACACGAATACTATAGATGTCGAGATTTCAAACACAAGAACTTCAATGACTACCTACAATCTTACCAATGTTGAGATATCTCAGTCATGAATTACTTGTAGACATTTTCAAAACTGCATTCTTCCTACATGGATGGATGGAGGTAACCAGCAGATAGCTCTACTTCACCTCAGTTTTCAGCTGGTTGACACTCATCAACAAAGTGTATCTGCACTACCACTGAATAGCTCAGTGGACATTAGTTCCCTTGAAATTGCAGATATGTTTCGTTGAGGATCGGTGACGAGCAGGCAACCAATCTCAACAGGGGCTTCCTACCCCAACTGCCTCCAATCACCTGGGAACAATTCAAGTGTACAATCACCCTAAATCTCATGGTTTCCTGATCATATTCCAAAGGTGTTTGTGAGATTTCTGCCAGGAACTAGGACTAGTAAACACTGAAGTAGTTGTTCTCCAGTGATCAGTCAGCGCATACACTTCTAAACTGCGTGACGTCCACGTAAAATCTTTGCATCACACCAGATAGACATGCAATGGAATCATGCAATTTGTGAGGTAGTCATATGTTTCAACTGTCATGTGAATGTATAGTGATCAAACTATACAGTTCATGATGGCCCATTCTATTTAGCTGCTTCTCTCACCATTTCCATAGTGGCTTAGACAGGAGATCGTTACATCATATCAGTTGACCAATACTGGTGGTTCATTTGTCATCAACCAAAACAGACGTCATGTAGACGCTGACCACTAGATATCAGCTAGCAAACAACTGTTCACAGTTTGAATGAGATATAGTACAGCTGTTCATCTGAACAACTGAATCACACAGTTGAGGGATCAGCATTATTTACTGGATCACGTTTCCGACACAATTTATTGTTCCTAGTCGTACCAAGATAACTCCACAGTCATGGAAATGATTTATATACTTCTGATTTTCTCCTATCTGATTGTGTGGTTGGATTAGTTTGATTGGTGGAGAGAAGGGAGGGGTAATGAACGAATTCTTGTCTGTTGAATCAACACCGACAACAGGAATGACTCACTAATTGTTCACCATATATGGAAGATTCCACTATCCATATCACACAGAAGGTAAGAAAATGAGAACGTTATACATCATGTCTCAGAGTTCTGGAGTTACCTGATATGACTGTGAACAATAAATTGTGTCCGAAACGTGATCCAGTACATAGTGAGTGCTACGCCTTCACTATCAGATAGATCTAACTTGTCAACTAACATGGAATTAATCGCATTCTACCATAGTGCCCAAGTTTTACTCTCACATTTGTCCCAGTTATTTTTCATTCTCTCCACATATGATGAATGTTATCTCATCTTCTCATCTCAGCTAATCCCAGATATGATGTTTGCTTACTCTAACTTCCAATAGACAGTCTGTAGGAAAACTATTCTTTTCAATTTATAATTATCACTAACAAGGCTTACCTGCTGCATTTCTATACATCATTGCAGCTTTTTCTATATCAGCCAGGAATGATGCATTTGAAGTACTTGCAGGGAATGCCCTTCCCAATTGAAGAACTTTCTCTCCATGGAATGTCGGTAAATAGTTTGATGTGAAATTGAATCGATATGATGTGGCATCATTTTTGTCACCTATAGAGAAGAAGAAAAGTAAAGATGGTGGATTTAGTTTGATTAGAAGGTGATTGGACAAACTTGTCCAGTCAAACTGCTACCTAAACCTATGGGTTGACAATGTTGCGAAGAGACCTCCATTTGACATTTGACATCTCGAAGCAGCATTATTAGGCTGTGGCTCAGTTCAACACAAAACAATCCACAGAGTGAAATAACTCAAAGTCATAGATGATGCTTCGGAAAACGAATTCGTCTTTAAGTCGTCACCATCCACCTCTCTGATGAAATTGATAGACTGATTACAGTTTGAAGGCAACAATGAATTTTCTTGTCTTCGGTTGTTTATCAAGTTCTCACTATTATTGTGCTCTGCATGAATGTTAAATGAATGAATTCCATTGGAAATGTTGTGGATGGATGCATTAGAGCAGTACTGAGAAGTCGTTTATTACAATTAGAACTTAAGCTAATCCTGATTCAAAAACTTGTGGGGAGGCTACATTAAATTCGACTACTAAACTAACAATAACTGGACCGGAATACATTGAACAAGGTTAATCAGTTGAGGGGGCAATCTCCTCCAGTTCATTTTCGTCAATCATTGGCGTTAGACAATATAACCACTCTCAAACACCCTGATCGCCTTCATTAACTACACAGGAATGGCATGTAATACTCATCTGAACTCAGCAATAACATGTTTTCCATTTGAAAAGAAACAATGTTTGATTCAAGCCTGTCAGTACTACAAACTGTTTACCTCCTTGTGATAGTACACGTCAGTCGAGAGAGAATCCACAACCACAGCTCTAACACTAACTGGCATGGATAAACAATAAGTTGACAACCTCAACTCACTTTTTCCCTCTACCTTCTCACTCTTTATTGCGGATAAAACAGCCAGTCTCTGATATAGCTGTTGCAGTTGACGTAACCTAGCCAGCTGAGAATTTCTTTCACTGTGAACAGCACTTGATGATGATGAACCTGCAGTTGGCAGTGTATGGTCTTGCTGTTGTGTCTGTGTGCCAGCCAGACATGGTCTCCCAATGGCTCTCGTAGTAGCATTTGTAGTAGATGCTGTTCCCGGTTGAAGAAATTTCTTCCCATGAAACATTGGTGAAGGTTTGATATAAAGTTGAATCGGTATGATGTAGCATCATAATTTTCATCTGCAAGAGAAGAAGAAAACCAAACATGGTGAAGTTGATTCCATGGTGTCATTGGATGTGAATCTACTTTCACGAGAGAAAATTGTTTCAATAAAAGCACTGGAGTGCAGTGTCTGCAATTCAACCTGTTCGACTTTGAAAACTGTTGTGATGAGTTTGCAATCAGCTGAGAAGGAATGAGCAAGGTTACTGTTTGATAATGATATGTATCAAAGATAAATGAAGTTGGATTTGTATTTCAGTGACGACAACAAATATGGATGTAGTCAAATCCAACTGACTAGTCTCATTCATATTGGAGGAAACATAATGAATGATTGTTCGACTACTAGACACTCTCAAGTGACACTACATTATCTTCATTGTCTAAACCTGTTGCTTGGATGTTTTCCACTGATGTCCTGCTATTCATGTGTTGTGCATTCACATATGAGGCAGTTGCAGATTTATTATCACAAATATCTTCGTAGCATTGCTCGGGCATGGTGGAGTTACTGTTTGAGCAATGTTGAGGTCATGCAAAAGATGGTAGGCAAGACAGACAGGTTGATTGATGAGGCTTTAAATCCTCGTCGACTGAGACGCTTTGAACATGCACTGTGCATGCCGAGTCATTGCCTACCCCGATGTTTCAGGTTAGTGGGAGTTGGATTAAGATGAGAAACGGTTCGGCGTGGTCAGATCAAGACATGGCGCCAGTCCATGAAATCTCTGATTGTTGTCTGCAGCAGTGTGAGGAGGTGTGGACTGCCTCGTTGGGATCCCTGAGACGAAAGCGACCAGTGGTTGAGGACTGTTTGTGACATGACAGAGAACCGGTCAGATTGGCGCAGATGTGTTCACTGCTTGACATCCCCTAAAGCTTGAATATTCACACTAACCTTTATATTCAGATTGTATGTGAGGTTTCGCGTTGATTCTTTCAGTCTGTCAGTGCTTTTCACTTTGCACCTCAACTCGTTACTGAAGTTGTAACATATTCAATGCCGACTGGTGGAAAGTTAACACATTTGTGATTTCGGAGCATGCTTCATTCAGTGGAGAAATGCAAACTCGAATACAACCGTTTGCGAATGAGTCACCCACTTTTGTGTAAACAAAGTTATTGTATCTTTCGGTCAGTCTTCAGTAGCCCCTGAACCTCTTGTTCGTCCAGATAAGCATTTCTTTATGCATCCTCCTGTAAACGAATAAAAACAAATAGCCTGCATAATTGCTGACAACCAACAACACAGGGGTAGACTGTCGATCATCAGCTGACCAGTGTATTTTACCATTTATACACCTCACTACATCATGATAATATTACACTTCAGGGCTGCTGGTTCGAGGACCTGAGTGGTCCAAGTCCTCGTTCCATCCACAAACACCACCAATGCCTATCTGTCTGGCATAATCTCACCAAGGAACAGCCGTATACCTTTAAACACTCTCAGTTATGCAGTTTATGAAGTCATCTCATCCCTCTCCATTCTCCCAATAAATACTAATCACATAAAGCGCTTCACTTCACATTTGTTGTCTAAATTCAAACTGACAAACTTAGAGCGTCTTCCACACACACACACACACACACACACACACACAGAATCATCTGTGTACTGAAAGTTATGAGATACTTCAAAAACCTCAGAATGTATATCAACACCTGAAATACGCCTACAAGCACCAGGATTAATGAAATTGATCATTTCATAGAGAAGATTTAGGCACACATGTAATGTGGTACGTACATATATGGAAGAAATTTCATTCAAGAAAAGCAATACCGTTTCCAGTGCACTTCATTGAGGAAATCAAAACTTTTCACTAAGTGCACTCCAGTTGACCGAGTATCGATCAGAGTTAAAGTTAACGCAACTAAGGATAGATATCGAATGGGTGGTAGGGAATGTTATGGTAAGGGGAAGCAGATTAGTTTTCAGAGTAATACGTGACACACACACACACACAAAACATTTTAACCCTCATCAATCAATTTCCAGTGAGAATTCTCCTTGAGGAAACTGAAAACATCAGGAGAAAATAAAAAGGATCCATTTAGTGTTGTTCAGGGGGCTTCTTGTTGATTACTTATAACCTGCAACATCAGATTATACATCCATGGAATAATGGATAATGCCTCCGCTTTTCGAGCGATGAGTACTACGGTCAAGTCTGAGTGGGAACAGTATCATCCAGCAAGTGAGTCCCGAATAAGTAGAAAGGTGCGTCCTCGATTTCACTACTAGCCACTAAGCAGATTAAAACATAATGAGTAATCGTGGGAGTATAGAGGCAACCGCATAGGAATCCATCACCCAACAGAAGTCGAACAATTCAACCCAGTATAGCAACTGGAGACTACACATATCAGACTATATAAACACACTTCAATCCACTGGAAGTATACAGAGAATTGGTCAGTAGTGAAAGTGGATAGAAACACTTTTGACGTTATGGGTTGTGAATCTCTGTTGTTGCAGCCCAGTCAACGTCGGATATTTACAGTCTAGAATATCGACACTGTGTTATGCCTGTCGCATAAGAAGGGACCAATGTGCATTGCTGGCCTATTGGACAACACTGTAATTTGAAGCCCCATGTGAAGAGTAAACATTCATCTACTGGATCCAAAATGGGCTGCAACATGAGTCACAAATTCCGCTGTCCATCAATAATCCATACAAACAGTTATGGTCTGTTAGTAAATCATAACTGCGAATCAAATCAAGGTGATTACTGCAACATACTTGCACTACTATGCACAAATGCAAGTGAATTCCATCGAAAATGAATCATAGTGAAAAGAGTCTAATAATGAAGGACTAGTGTAAGTCCTTCTTCCCACACCTCAATGGTGTTTACTACCTACTCACCCTCATCATCCATGAAACAGTCTTCAAATCGACAAAGCCCTGGATGGAATCTGGTTGACAAACATTTTCTGGTGGGATTTACTTCATTTTACTAATAGGTGCTTTCTACATTATCACTCCAATCAGTAGCATGACTGTCTTCCACCAGTGAAAACTTCTATTGAATGAAATAGCTTTTTGTAAAGTATCACAGATAGTCATAGCTGAGGTGGAAATCTGTTTCCTATTCTATGACTCTTTATGCAACAGCAATCTCAATCTCTTCCAGGGACTTAATCCACACCTACTCACTGATAATCATGGTAAGACTGGTTACACTGATAGACGACAGGTTGAAAAAATGTATCCACTGAAAAGTGGGTGTTAATTTGCTCATCTGACATTGGAGACTGGAACAGTATCAAATTCACTTCTGTTGGTATGATACTCTGAAATAACCGAATGGAGTTGAACAGTGATTGCCTTCTTGCCTACTGTATTCTTGGATGCATTCAACTGAGACAGAATTGCATTGAAGTTTGTCTCCAAATTTCTCTGTGATCTTCAGCTCACCGGTGTGGAAGCTGACTTGTCTAGCTGCAACTCGACTTTATGCTTATACCACCATCCAGATGGTGAACGGAGATCAAGTCAGTTAGCAAGCTGTGTGAAAAGATAGCGCTTATCTGATTTCAGTGCTTCTGAGAAACTTGCACACTGAAAACTGCAAGTGACATGGACAGAGTACTTAGCTCAAGTATGCATTCGGCGTTATCTGACAGTTTTGCTTACTAGTACATCCATTCAACAGAAGTGAAGTACAGAACTGACACTCTTTACACAGTGAATAACAAGGGATACATACCAGCAGATAACTTGATTCACGTCCACACATCACATTCACATGATCTTCATCATCTTTTGCATCACAATGTTACAGCCCTCCCACTGCTGACCGACAGTCGAACAAAAAGTCATTTCAGTCATTTCAAATAAAACTCATCACTGTGGGGGTTAGCTATCATATTCACATATAACTTTGATCCTCATGAAGTCAGGTAGGCCAGGAGACATGAAACGTGTGTGGTATCTTCGAGTATTGTCAGGCACACAGTCAACAATTTCTCAGGGAAACGCGGAGCAAAACTCGCAAACATTTTCACAATACGGGCAAATTTAAATAAACGGAAGGCGAAACTCAGGTCAATGAAATATTTTCACTTCGGTGGTACACTACTTACTCTTAATCAGTGAGTGGCCTAAAATCGTTTGTGGATAAATTCTTGATCTTCAGTTTGTGAATATCTATCATGACCTCATTATTAACATTGTGTTCTATGTTAAATTTCCTTGAAATTGTCTTCCAAATGTAGGCGTCAGCCATGGCTAGGTAGGCGGCAAGCTTCATGGCTTAGGTGACACGTGTCGATTGTTGTTTAACTAAATGGCAGTCATTGACGCTCAGTTGCTTCTAAAAAACTCTCTTTGTTCCAGCGACGTCGATCTCCTAAATTTATATCATGGTAGAGATTTGTAATGAATTCCAGTGCACTAACCTACAGTAGCATTGTCTATGAAGGTCTGTAACTCAGCCTTTAAATTCCTAATTAAATGCAGTCCTAGTTTGAAGAGGGCGTGTTCCTTACCGAAGTACAGTTATCCATCAACGTGGGAAAGTGGAGGATGACATTTTTACCTTCTATGCAGGGCATAATCTTGGAAGAGATCATGACAGCTTTAACTGTTGGCGAGCAACACGAGTTTGCCAAATACATTGGAAAACCGCATTCAGAAACTAATACCGATTGCAGTATGCTTTCAAATACCCCTTCCGTGTAACATGTTCTGGAAGAGAACACAGCTCAGTACACCCTTGATAACACCATAGTTTATGGAATGTAGGTGCAGATCGAGGATAACCGTGGAGGTACACTTCAGTAGTATAGTGTCAGTAAAATAAGACAGGTCCACTCAATGAAACAGATGAGCAAAATGCAATGAGCCATGACGAATTTTGTGTAGATGCTGAAATCTACCTGGTCCAAGATATTTCATTTGAAGTTTGGAGAAGAATCTTACCATTTTCACACTGACTGTTATCAGAAATGCTTACAGTTAGTCGAGCAACAATGAACTAAACACCTTAAAACTGCCTGAGAATGCACATTAGGTTCGGCATTTACCTTCACATTGGTTTGGAAGAAGAATTCTGATCAAGCTTCATAAGTCGTGTAAATACACAAACCAACCCTTCTGATATGCAGAAATATACAACCTCAGCTCCACCAACATGAAGGCGACACTGACAGCAATTGACTGTTCAAAACGATTTGAAATTAGCGTAAAGCATTTATGTTTCTTGGACGCAAATAAGAAATTCCAGTTAGTAGGACACAAGCGTGAAATCTACCTTGACAACAACCATAGAAAGTATCTGAATATTTGGCTGCACAAACTGCGACATCAAGACAACGAGAGAACAAGAAGACGACTGCCCACCTATCATTAACATGACTAATTCTCAAAGTCACACCCATCTTCGCAGAGGGAAAATCAAAGGCAGTGAATCACGGCAGGTTGTAATATCCGATGTCATTGAAAGGAAGAAGATGGAAAGCAACGACTGACTAACACTTTGAAGTAATGAAAACCTGCTTAAACCTTTCACTGCATTATGGATAATGCATAACTGGTACGAAATCTCACTGTATTGTATCAGTCACATCTATGCATCTATGTGGGGTGTGGTTGATTTTGGGACATCACGTAATGTTCCCTTAATAATTTGGTATATGAGACCTGGAAGAAATGAAGTGGTTTCCAATCTTAGACATACCCCCGCAACAGAGTGAAAACGTGGAAACAGTTGAATAGCCAGCGAAGTGTCGAAAGAAAGTTAAACCTGATGAAGGAAAGCGTGGAGGGAACTGAAAGAAGATGTGTGGTCACAGAATCACAAGATAATGTTGTGACACCCTGAGCTTTGCCTCGAGTTCCCAGTAGAATTCTTCCCATGTTCTCTCGTTTTATGCAGTAGTTATGCTGACTGAGAGATTAGGTGTAATTTCAGTTTACAGTGTACGAGTGTAATGATGTAGGAAGTCATACCATTTGTCACTGCTTCGGATGGAGTGAACTTTGGCGGACCCATGACGTGCATAATTACAACACTATTATCCATAATCAGGATTTGAAGGGATATGCGATGAATATCTGACCCAAGTCTGCGCGAAGTATAACATTCTCTCAAAAAAGCCTCCATCATTCTTATGCCATAATGACTCAATCTCCTGATCGGAAGTGACCTGATCAGTTATCAGATAATCCGTCCACTGGACCTATGGACAGTTAAGTTGTATACAACCTATTCTTGTCTGTGGTTTAGGGGGGTGGGTATCAACTGGTGGGTCAGGGTTTCGAACCTCAATTGTCCTTACACTTTAGCTGTTGCTTCTTACCTACTTCATGTAATTAAATGCGCTTTCTAAAATATCCCAGACTGCATGTCTGAGAATTATCTCAAATCAAAATATAAGCATACTCATTCAACGTCAGTCAGATTTGAAAGAAACAAACACATTCGATTTCATGCAAATTCACCTCATCCAGGATATACACAACGGGTTGGTCCACCACTAGAGAGGATTATTATTAAGGTCTGGTAGCAGGACTGAACTTCAATTCATGTTTATGATAAGTTTCCTAAAACAATCACTTCGAAGTATTTTGTAAACAGCCAGTGGGTTAGACAATCAAACCGACTAACAGAAACTATATGTTCAATCAATGTTGTCAAATTAGCGCGGGTCTTTATAAGGGAATGATACACTGGTAAAAACTATGAGAAAATCCCAGCTAGCTAACAAACTTCATGTTAACACCAGAAGTTTACATGAATGAGGGATAGCAGGCAGCATGATCAGATGACCTACTAGATGGTGCTCTGAGATTTAAAGCGATCGGCCTTCAGTTCCAATCTCTTGGTGGACAACATCATTCACTGGGAGGTAGGTACATCCACCCAACGAGTAGCAAATAGGACGTAACCCACGTACTGAATTCCCCCACTTGTTGATATCAACTAACTGTATGAAACTGAAACACAGGCAATATCGAGGCATCTTCACACAAGACCATTCGCCTAAACAGACAAATCAATTCTATACAAACATTGATGAGATAATTAAACTAACAACATAAACACTAGAATTTTGTGCTCCAGTTACTGATAATAAAGATTATTGATAAAATTGGAAGAAAGGAAAAACACTTTTACTTGAAGGTTGAAGTTGTTCACACTTACTCATATTCGTATTGGAAGTCGACATTGAATCAATCCTTAACTCAGAGAGTTGTTTCAGTTGGCTTTTATAAGAATGACTGTGTGATGGCAACAAATCATTCGAATCCATGCAGTGTATGTTTTACAAGAAATGGGGTGTATAGTATGCACGAGGATAAAAATATCAGGTCACTTCCTTTCCACTATAATCTGTTCTAAAAGTAGACTATGAATGTCGTCCTTGTTGTAAGCTTATTATTCATCTAAGAACAAGTTGCCACCGGTTTCAACGTTGAATAAAAGCAGACTGAGGAGTAGAATGTCATACTGATTACTATTTACTGAATAAAGTGTGCAGTGATTCGATTGGTCGATCAACAGTGTGTAAACACGCGTACATATCAATGACATTCTACATTCTACCCATCCGTCCCCCACCTTATCGAATAATATGACCATTCCACTGTCTACTTTCCATGAACGGTACTCAGTAAAATCGATCAGGATGATGATAATTCTTATGTGTGTGTGGTTGACTGAATGAATCTAGGGTGGGATAGGCTGTTAGTGAACTCCACCACCATGAAGTGTTGAAGTTTTAAAAAGTGGAGAATTCGATCAATAGGACATGACGATGTTACCATTTTTAATCCACCAAAAAGTGCACAAATTGATTGAACAGCTAAAAATTCGGATTAGTCGAGTCCATTTTCAATTCCAACTCTTTTAAGATGTACTCACATGTCATGTTTAGTGTTATGTCTAAGAAAAGCAAGAGAGAATAGACAAGATCATGAAATGGTTTAATTAGATGAATAGAATTCGGTGGTGAGAGTGATTCTTTCCACCCTGGGAAGTGAGTACCAGGTGAGGAAGAGAAGCATCTTTGAGACGAGATAACTTTCATTCATTTCATGAGTTAGATAGGTGATAAGCAGTGAATGTGGATTGACTAGCACCCTGTGAGTTTTCAGTATTCCAAGTTTGTATTCCACCAACAGGGACAGATATCACTTGGAAAGCCATGGCTGGTTCCTCCCACCCAGTATAGGTCTTGGTGTTGAAGCTTATCAATTTATCCCTTGTAACCGCATTCATCAATCAAGTGTAAGTCATCATAAAGTGTGAGGGTTAAGCTCTTCATCAAGAAATGAATGAATCACTACAGCTTACATGTGCTAACAAGCACCTGAATAGAATGAAACAAGTGCGAAGTGCCAACAGATTTTAAGTGTTTGTGTGACCACTTCTAGTGTGTACTGAATATGCTCCAGTATAAATATACTGAGATTCTGTATGCCAGCCATTTTGTTGTATGGAATCAACACTGAAACGACTGGTTCGTTTGTTGTCTTTATTTCACTTTTGTTGTACCACATCAAAGCGTCATCACAAAGCTGTTTGACAAGTGTTCAGTAGGTGTTTGATGTTTCCTGACTTCTCTGCTCCTAAGATGTTGGCTCATTTCCTCACCAACTTTTAGAAGTGGTAATGTAAAATACTTCAATCTATTCTGAACTGAAGCTGAAGTTGAACCAACAAGTATAACATTGTAACGCTTAACTGAACCTCTTTTAGTGATAAAAGGGTATAATTCTCTGTGTATGAGTTGATGGCAGTCATCTGCAGAGCATATTATGAGTAAGCAAAGTAGAGACATTTCTGTCTGTTCACAAGAAAGAATAACCACACAGGGAAGGAATAATACTATTCACTGGATAACGCTCCGGACACAATTTATTGTTCATCATCGGACGGAATTTATATAGTTCTAAGTTTCGTTCCTTCTTTGTGTTGATGAGGGTAGTAGAATTTTTCATATATCTGGGACAGGTACAGAATCATTGTGATGGGATGCTTTCGGTGTTGATTCGATTATCAATCTCTCCCTCCACCCAAAAGGATTCAGTTTTTAATACTGCCGCTTTACCCCTCCCTATTGTGTATGCAATTGCATAGCTGAGCTTCCATCGAGATTCCTGATCTTCTTAGACTATACTAATCATCACTTAGCTAAACTTTTGTGCCTTGACGCCAGTCTTTTAATTCGAACTGTGTATTTGACCCTGCAGTCACAGCTAGCAATTTGATAAGATAAAGTTTTCCGACTAATTGGATCAAAAAGCCCGTTTCTAAGCCAGTTTGAAATACGAAGTGCCACTCTAGTCCCAACCAGACTCATTCAGAAATCTTTGCAACGCTTCTCAGGTACCTTGTTTGTATGGTATGTACCACAGTGAAGGCTGCTAGTCCTTCCTCTACCCTGTCGCCAATATTACTATCATTATTACCATTATAAATATTTTGTCCCTTGGGTTCCTAATGGATCATAGGCCTTCGGTAGCACGTCTCCAATTCCTCCGTTCTCTGCAAACTATTGAACCTGGTACCACGACAGCCCACAAGCTCTCATTTCCTCCTCGCACGATCTCCTCCATGTCACCCTAGCGTCGGACGTCCAACTCATCGTTTCCCATCTGCGTTCCACTCGAGCAACTGGCCTGGAGCGTGATGTACCCAGTCGGCCTTCTCAGTCTATACCCAATCCATCTCCACTCCCTTCCAGTGCATATTTGTTCACCGATAGATTCTTGCTTTGTTGCTTCGTCACCAGCCAGAGTTCATTGTTACTTACTATTCTTACTATTCTGGTCATCTGATCTTCTAGCGTAGATGGCAGTTGTTGATGAATGTGTGTAGTTTGTTGGAAAAGCCTTCCGTAACCCGCCAAGTATCTGAGACATACGGAAGCACTCACTGCCTTGACTTGATTGGTGTTGAAATCCGAATCTTGTTCTTTATGTCGAGTGCAGTGCAGAAAATCTCCACACTGGCTTCAGGTTAATGATATTACAATTATCAGTACAATTATTATTGATAATATCTGTGTTACTACCAACATTGTTCATATTGTTTTTAGAGACTTCTTATGAATTTAGTGATAAATTTTGGTGGGTAATTATTGGTACACAAGGTATTCTTGATACATGGTGATGATGAGTACTGGTTAGCAGTGGAATCCACAAGGCGCATTTCGTCCTACATGCGACTCGTCACATGGATGTACCTGCCTATATATGCCAATAGAGACCGATCATTTCGGTTCAATCAACGGTGGCATAAGACAAACAGTAACACTACTCCTGATGTATCTAATCTCTTGTCATAGATTTCTTATTCCAACGGTGCACACTTCACCCTATTCACTAAGCCTAGTTTAACTGAAATACACTAAAATCGAGTTACAGTCCACCACAGTATCCACATTTTACTCCTAAATTAGAGATAGGAGAGCATCCGTACGTTGTTACATCAATTGCTAATAGTAAACTCGATGTGAATGGTAACGTAGTTATCTGAGATAGGACAGATCGAATAACAGACATGAAATCGACCAACGGAATTAGACGTTCACATCATATTTGAACGTCATACAGTCATTTGAACTACCTAATTTTCATCAAACCTCACAGTGTTTGGTTACTGAGAATGCAAGTTCATTAAATCATGCGTGCAAAGAGTAGTAGAGGTCTGAACAACATACATTCGTTCATTTCAGATGGACAACGGTTAGACGGATGTCTGCGTTATATAATAGTGATTGACAAGAGTATCTGAAAACTACTTTGACCAATCAACAGTAACGATATCTCATTGGATCAGTCTGAGAGTGATGATGGATAGTGAGTGACATTGGAATCTGAGATACACGGTTCGTCCTATCTGAGGCTCGTCAAATGCATGTACCTTCCACCTATGCAATAATGCTGTTTTTATGAGGATCTGAACAAACGAACGATCTCTTCAATAGTCTGGGTGTCTATTCAGCTACCGAGTCATGTTAGCCACTCCTTGTGCAACAAATGCAGTATGCTTTTCTGGTTTTCATAGCTTCCAAGTTCCAATCAGATCTGCAAACTGGATGGCTGATTCTCTTTCTTGCAGCAGCAGCAGCAGCAGCAGTTTATTAGATCAAATTTGATGATTTTTTCGACGACCTTCAGCTTCGTTGAGAATACTAACCTGATGGAGAGTTGCTTCAATGAAATTGTGAGTTCCCCAAAGAATCAATCGGTTTCCTGTGAACAAGATTGTTGTGCATTCCAATTTCAAATCTCTCCTACCGATCTATGCATCAGATCACAGACTGTGTGTATTAGGTCATTCTCAACCTATGTCGGTTAATGATGACGTCTTCAACAGGAGTCTTAAATGACACTGCTGACAAAAAAACTAGTATTGTCCACGATTTCCACCTACAACTCGTCAGCGAATTCCAGTAGATATAAAGTGTGCATAAACAAGACTGATGTCCATAGCCCCTGTCTGTTTAATACCATACCGCCTCTTTCAATTCCAGTTTGAACAACAAGTACATTTTGTGGTTTCTTCTGGGTGTGATTCGAATGGAAAACAGTTTCTTTCACAGACAACCCATTACCACATTGAACTTTAGATTAGATAGGCCTGTCTCATCTTGTTGTCGAAATCCCCCCCCACTCTGCCTTCCCTGTAATGCATGTCTGTCTCTTATTCACCCAACTCAGTGTGTTCCATTCGTTTCTCCTCCTCCTGTTTCTTTCATATTTGTGGTTGTTCATTCTGTCTTCATTCCCATTTCTCTGGGACACGGATGTGGACTGAAACTGTGTCGGTTGGTGGAGTAGCAACAGTCGATTTTTTATTCAGTGTGATAAATCTCCGATGTATTGGGTAGTCCCTAAATCTAATGACACAGATGGGCTTCATCTGGGATGCAGTAAAACTTCACTACTACAATAACTAGCCGGATTAGTACACTGGACAGAGAATACGAAACCGAAAGTTAGCTGAGTAGAGATTTATTCCACTCAGAAAGGTATGTCTATTCATGTGGAAGTTCCGTGGATACTTCTAACCAAACTAAGCTTTCTTTCCCAATGAATCTCAGTTCATTCACAGATATTACCTGAAAACATTTGGGTGACGGCAGGTCAGCTACAAATGTGAACAACCAACCTCAAATATATTTTACTAATATGACCATCTCAATCATAAATGATGAACATTAGACATCCACTTATCTGACCTATCCAGTCAATCTTCTGAATATATTTTCAAAACAATCCCGATGATAGGACTAACTATGTG